GCGGTGATTCTTCTACAGGCTAATACATCACAAATTATATCAAACTGTTTAGAAAGTGGGTGGGTGGGGGTCATGACAAGTTGGAAAAGAGATAATCGACAACTGCGTATTGTGTTCATCTCCAGGCCACGTCTGTGATTTCAAATCAAAGATAAATTGACTGTTTCTGCCGGCTCTTTCCGTATGCACTTATTTACCCGTTCCTGTGGGGCAAGATACATTGATCGCACGAGTGGACGTTTATCTGAACGATTCCGTGAGCACCACTTGGCCTGGTTGAATAAGGGAGTAATCAAGACGATCAACAGCTCAATCATTTCAAACCCGGAGGAATCAAACCACGTAGTTAATGTGGCCGAGGCGTTTCGACTCATCCACTTAGAGCATGAGGAGTCGCACTTTGGCCACAGCGGAAGCGATCGGAATCCACCCCCACCCCCCTATGCTCCCAAAAGCAATACGTAAGAACACTCGGCCTTCCATGACCAACACCACACACGACACAGCCATCCCTCCACCCCTAATGACCCGAACCAGCGTGTATGGATGAGAACCAAAGTATGAGCAACATCATGCGGTCATGGAATTGGAACTTTTCATGATTTCCACCTCGTTCTAAACAGTTTGATATAAATTGTGATGTAATAGCTTGTAGAAGTATCACCGCAAACAAGCTTGTTCCCTATTTTGTGTTTTCTAACAATGGGTAATGGTTGTTATATTCGGACTCTCCATAAACACAATACTATGATCTACCCAGAGAATTACAGTAAATCAATAATTTCTGATAGCCAATAAACGAAATCAGATTTAGTAGTATTCTTTTTGTCAGACCGACTGGGGCTAAGAAGAGCGGTGTGGTAATACCTGCGACAAATTTGTAAAAACTGGTTGTGCTATAAAGTGTATAAGGAAAATAGAAAACGGTCCGATTAGCCGATCGGTGGTTGATTGGGTTGTGTGCTTGCGTTCTACTTGTGAGGTCCCGGATTCACGATCCCCCGTTGGGTCGATGGATTCCCGGACAGCTGATAAGACCCAACCAGGTAAAAACAGTTGTTCAGTGTTTCTTAGCTTTTCACCTCCAGCTGTTTTGGCTCTTTATACAAAAAAATTCATCATACGACTTGGAATATCATGCAAGGTTTAGACCATTCGACTGTTTGTAAGCACCATTGGTGTGTGGCTTTCACTCATAATCTTGGTAGGCACACGGAAAGTACGCACTGATGACTAGTCCGTACAGGGATGAAAAAAACTGTCAGATGTTTTGTCAGTCATGAGTGATTTCGGTTGCAACAATGCATTTACGTGATGAGGAATTAACGAACCATAGAGAAATGAAACCTACAATTCAGACCATCAACAGTGCCTGCGATCAATCGAACGGGTTAAACCAAACACGATATTCTATTTTAACTTGGATTCACTTGCATTAGAGACGATCCCCAAATTGCCGATGATGATGATAAACATCATTGCCTGTTGAAAATCGAACGGTGAACGCCAATGAACTACCACCAAATACACTGACTACCTCCTCCCCTCCTTTGTTTACCAATATGTAACCGTTGTCAAGCATTTATACTATGCTCCCCAATCAATACTAAACAGTACTCTTGTTGTTAAGACCCGTATTTTCAAGGTCATTTCTAATGCAAACCAATAAACTAACTCGCAGTGATCTAAAGTGCATCGGGGCAAACTCAATCGCTGAACGTTTGAATTCAACCGAGAAAGATCTCAATTTGTGAACTAAAAAAAACAATCACCGCGTGTGTAGAACCTCAACCTCAAAAGTACAATATAACTATGGCACCCTGTATTTATCGGATAACCGGCCAAGAACCGTATCTGGGGCACGTGGTGAGCAAAATCCAAAGACTGATAACTTTTCAAGCCAACGAAAGCAGCATAAACAGGTTCGCATCATTATCAATGCAAATCGAAGTGTAGGAATGCAGAGCACAATCAGGGATAGATGAGATGGGCAATGCATTCACCTAATGTAAAATACAGACGACTGGTGACCTCATTTAGTGGACATACAGAAAGAGAGAGAGAGACCTACACGAAGAGGCACAAATGTGCTCATGCAGGCACACGTTTTTGCGCTAGTCATCTGTAATTCCTCGCGAGCCATGTGGAATTGAGAATGGAATTTTAATGGGCGTTCAGAAATTCTATTGGGGTTTGATAAAAAAGGGAACTGCCATGAAGTTCATTCGCCAAGTGGGAGAACGATTAGGGTTCTCAACCAAAGCACAAACCAGATCACAAGATGGCGGCCAACGAGTTATAAAGGCCTATTGTATACTTGAATTTATCCAGTCTTCCGACTGCGAAGCCAACCTGAAGGACCAAGAGGCTGAACTTTGTCCAACTTTTATTCCTCAGCCTGTCAGGCATGGTTGGACTGCTTGGTTTAACAAAAGCCAACCTGTGGGGCTTGTTGGGCCAGACGGGGGCACAGACCATCAGGTTGGATCTCTTCATGATCGGTATGGGATCGCAAAATTGCGGAGATCATTGATGGAAACACTCGGATACATGATGGATTGGATAACCTGATCGAAACAACACTGGGAACGCGAGTTTGTCCCTGTAATTGGTTCCTCGGAACAGTTGATGGAACTTCGGCTAAACGAGAAACCAGCGAATAATGCACGTGATACTTTCCTTTAAGAAAATCGGCCGAATGAGTGTTACCTTTCGGAAGTTTGAAAATTGTACATTTAATACTGGATTAGATATGCCAAAGATGATGAATAGGGGTATTGACCAAACTCGTGCAGCAACCTGACTTTCATCACATATTTTCCTCTCAATGCTTGGTGTTTCGAGCCTCATTTGCGGGATTGAATACGATATTACACCATGTCACAAGCAACATATCCGTACTAGTATATAACTCTTTTTACTTCTGTTGGTAGAATGACATTAAAATGCA